ACCAGCCGCCAGATCTTTTCGGTGATCAACGATAATATTTTGTTATTAGGGGTAACGATTTCCATGGATAAGAATGATGACAAATCTTATGCAGGATAAGATTTCCATGGGGATGATGACAAATCTTATCAAGGATAAGATTTCCATGGGATAAGGATGATGAAATTCCCTTATCGAGAAGAAGGGAAGCGACGATAAATAGGACGACGACTCGGGAATAAGGTACGACGAAAAAACTATTATTAAATCACTGCCTTCTTTTTATACCTCCGGTGACTAACTTGATCGTCGAAGAGCTCTTGGAAGGTACTACACCGGTGCTGCCAAGGTTCATCGATCTTCTCCTCTTTCCCTTGCAGGTAAACAATGTCGTATCGGACCGTGTGAATTTCACCCTCAGCAATTGTCATGCCCACCTCGTGCATTCTCTCACCATCATTGCTATAAAAGGCAGTAATGTATCGTTTTAACAAGATTGTAATCTCATATAAATAGATGTGTTTCATCACCTTGGTAATCGCGGAAATAGCTATTTAGATTTAGGGTAACTCATAAGACATACCTTGTGATAATGAGCCATCACATAATTTAAGGAATATCTATTAAGAAACTTTGTGAACAATGAAGCGTCACATAATTTAAAAATATTATTAGTAATATTTTAAAACAAAAATTGTACTTATGTTTTTCTTTTACAATTTTTTTTATTTGTCGGGAATAATGTGAATTAGGCTCTAAAATTTGTAAGGAAAAAAATTTTGAGAAGGAATTGTTTCCTTTTTAAATAGTGGGAATATTATAGAATTTTTTTTTTCTTATTTAATGACATGTTATTAGAATTTTTATAAAGAAAAATTGGAAATTATATGAATCATAAGGGTTGTAAAAAAATTGGAAGATAATTTTGTTGCATTTAGAGAGACTTCAAATCAGATGTAATGGCAGAAAACTAAAGGATTGCAACATTTATATCGTAACATTTAAGAAGATAATTTTGGTACATTTGAAGAGACTCCAACTCAAATGCAATGGCAGAAAACTAAAAGGTTGTAACCTTTATATCATAACATTTAAAAAGAAATAAATCATTATACTTAATAGTAAGAAATTAAAGGATTGTAACCTTTATAAAGAGACATTATGAATCATTATGTAGTTAATATATATGTTAATAATTTTTTAAAATTTAAATTAAGCAAAAATATTTGAAGTGGGGTGGGCATATGTTTTAAAAACAAAAATGTATGTTATTTTTTTTTCCTTTTGCGTTTTTCTTTTTCTTTTTCTTTTTCATTTTGTTGCGTGAATACTTTTTTGTTTTTGTTTTTCAACAAATAGGGTACATTTTGTTTTTCTTCTACAATTTTTTGTTCGGTTTGGAATAGTGTGAATGAGGCTTAGAATTTTTATAAAAAAATGTATTTTTTTTTTTCTCTTTGGCGTTTTTTTTTTTTTCTTTTTCTTTTTGTTACGTGTATTTATTTATTTTTGTTTTTAAACAAATATGGTACCTTTTTTTTTGCCTTTTACATTTTTTTTTTTTTTTGAATAATATGAATTAGGCTTTAGAATTTTTGGAAAGGAATGGGTTCATTTTTAAATATTGGGAATATTATAGTTTGTTTTTTTCCTTTTATGTTTTTTTTTTCTTATTTTTAATTTGTGAGAGTTAAATAAGGTGATTTAATGACACATTGTTAGAATTTTTATAAAGAAAAATTGGAAATTATATAAATCATAAGGCTTATAAATGAATTGAAAATAAATTGGAAGATAATTTGGTGCATTTGGAGAGACTCCAAATCAGAAGTAATGGCAGAAAACTAAAGGGTTGTAACATTTATATTGTAACATTTAAAAAGAAATAAATCATTGCACTTAATAGCAAGAAATTAAAGGATTGTAAACTTTTATAGAGACATTATAAATCATTATGTAGTTAATATATATGTTAATAATTTTTTTAAATTTAAATTAAGCAAAAATGTTTGAAGTGGGGTGGGCATGCCTTTTAAAAACAAAAATGTATGGTTTTTTTTTTTTTTTTTCCTTTTTGTTTCATGAATATTTTTTTGTTTTTGTTTTTAAACAAATAGGGTACATTTTTTTTTCTTCTACAATTTTTTGTTTTGTTTGGAATAGTGTGAATTAGGCTATAGAATTTTTGGGAGGAAATTTTTGGAAAGGAACTGTTCATTTTTAAATAGTGGGAATATTATAGTTTTTTTTCTTTTTATGTTTTTTTCTTATTAAGGAGTATTATTTATTTGAAAGAGTTAAATAAGGTGAATTAATGATATAGTAAAATTGAGGTTTTTAATAAATAAAATTTGGAAATTATATGACTCGGAAGGGTTGTAAATAAATTGAAAATAAATTGGTAAATAATTTTGGTGCGTTTGTATAGACTCCCAATCAAATGTAATAACAGAAAATTAAAGGATTTTTCATTAATTTGAAACCATTATATCGTAAAATTTAAAGAGACATAATCATTATACGTAATGAGAAGAAACTAAAGTGTTGTAACATTTATATAGACATAATCAATCATTATAAAGTTAAAATATATATGTTAACAATTTTTCTAAATTTAAAATAAGAAAAAATGTTTGAAGTAGAGTGGATGTGTATTTTAGAAACAAAAAAAGGTGTGTTTTATTTTCCTTTTACATTTTTTTTTTCCTTTTTTTAGTTGTGAGAGTTAAATAAGGTAATTTAATGACACATTATTGGAATTTTTATAAAGAAAATTTGAAAATTGTTTGAGTCATAAGAGCATATGTATATTTTTTTGTATAAATCTGATGTGTCATGATGAATTTACATAAAAATTTTGAATTATTTAATTTTAGCTCCAACGGTTGTTTTATACCTTTTGTGTAAAAATATATCTCCCAATGACAATCAACCATGTGTCATGCCAGGATCCCACATAACTTTTACAAACCTACTTAATATATGGTTGATTTTTTTAATGGAACGAGAAAGAGGGATGAGAAATGAAATATGTTGATCTGACAGTGTAAAAATATTGTGTAAAATACTTAAATTTTTTACACATTGGTGGTATGACAATGTATCTCAACAGACTGCTGGAGATGAAAAAAATTTACACATCATAGGTGGTAGTGTATATTTTACACAAAAGGGTATTTTAACAGATCGCTGGAGATGCTCTAAGGTGATTTAATGTTTAGTATTTAATGCAATAATTTTGTATTTTTTAAAAATCTAAATTTAAAATAAGCAAAAATGTTTGAAGTGAAGTGGATGTGTATTTTAGAAACAAAAAAGGTATGTTTTATTTTTTCTTTTTTTACTTTTTTTTTTTCTTTTTTTTAGTTGTGAGAGTTAAATAAGGTGATTTAATGACACGTCATTGGAATTTTTATAAAGAAAAATTGAAAACTATTTGAATTATAAGGTGATTTAATGTTTAGTATTTAGTGAAATAATTTTGTATTTTTTAAAAATCTAAAATTTTAAGAAATTAGCTACACTTTTATGATAGTATAGATAGATAGATAGATATAGATATAGATATAGATATGTGTGTGTGTGTGTGTGTGTGTGTGTGTTTTGAATGGGGGTTTGAAAGATAGGTAGGAATAATTAGTAATTTTGTTGATTCGTTGAATGGGAACAAATTAAATTCTAAAACACCATAGCTTCGTGCACCACTACTACATTCTTCTTAGGGATGGCAAATTCTTTATCCCCGGGTCCCCGCCTCACCCCGTTTATAGCGGGGATGGGGATCATTTTATATAAACAAGAATGGGGATGGGGATGGGAATAAATTTTGAAAACCCACCGGGGGCTGGGCCAGGGATGGGGTAAACCCGGCCCGCCCTGCCCCGATTAAGTGTTAATTACTAATATACTCTTACATTTAATAATTTATTATTAAATTAGATTAGTATAGATATGAAAATAAGAAAAATTAAGTTTTTTAAAAAAAATAATATATGTTAATCGGAGCCAGGGTTGAGGATGGGGCGCTAACGGGGATAAGGGGTCGGGGGTGGGGGCGAGGGTAAGGGCAGGTATGGAGGCGGTGGTGAAATTTTAAGCAGAGATAGGGGCAGGAATGGAAATTAAAAAATTCAACGAGAATAGGGATGAGAAATGAGATCCCCGCCCCTCCGTGTCCCGCCTCATTATCATCCCTAATTCTTCTGCTTTACATTTCTTCTTCTGCATTGAAATCAAGGAGGGGTTGAAAAGTAGCCCGAAAGGCCCACCATGGGTGCATTGATGTATGTTGTGGGCTCGGACTCCTGAAAGAAAGGCCTCGAGTCCGGGAAAGCATTGGAGATGTTGGGCCCACCCACCTCTGCTCCCACCGGGCCACCAACACATTGGGATTTAGACTCGAGAAATATCGACAACGTGCACCATACCCTACCATGTACGACATCTCCAGCGGATTATCCCCAAGAATGAAGTCCACCTAATCATTATTGGTCCCCGGAAATAAAAAAATAAAAAATTCATCGTATATAACAGATACACAATAATTAGAATAAATGTTTGGAGAGAGATGCAAGTATCCTGAGCAATAAATAGAGTGAGGTTTCTCACAAATATATTAGGTAAGTTTTTTATTTTTTATTTTTTAATTTTTTTTTAAGATAAAGATAGTAAGTCACTGTACCCTTAAATGGTCTCATATACCTCAAATGAGTATAATTTTTAGTACATACTTGGTAGAGAGATCACCATTGGAATTTATTCTTAATTTTCTGTACTTTCATATATTTTTTAACTTAATAATTAAATAAAAAAACGAAAATGGGACCACAAACAAATTTAATTTACAAGTACACAATCAATTCTTTGTGATTTAACAAACAACTAAGTACATCATGCAAAATTCCCTTCTGACCATACATTACATAACCATGGCTATAAGTTTTATTATTTTTTATTTTTGAAAATAGTCAATTCCAAATTAATAGTAAAATACAATAATTCGACATTCATCACGTACAAGCTTTTTGTTTCTACTTCAACATTGCAAACTAATAATTCAACATCCATCACGTACAAGCTTTTTGTTTCTACTTCAACATTGCAAACTGAACAAATTAATCGTAAAATACAATAATTCAACATCCATCACGTACAAGCTTTATGTTTCTACTTCAACATTGCAAACTGAACAAATATAATTAACTCCTCAATTAAGCAAGTATTTCACAATTTGCTCATTCCTCCTTCAACCACCGGCGGCAATTGTATTCCACGATTTTTTTTCTCCACGTTTGCTTGCCACCCTAAACATCAACAAGGAAAAAAAAAAAAAAAAAATTGTAATAATAATCCATGAAATAAGTAAATTAATAGTTACATATATATACATAAATGATATTCAGTCCGACACTCGGACTCACATTATGATGACATCAATAATTAGATTGACGCTATTCTTCACTAGCACGAAAAACAGTCGGATCAGTAAACTTATGCATAGAGAGAGTGTTAGTTTACCAATCATCATGTCGACTCCGCGGTTTTTGAGCTCGCGGTACTCTTGGCACAAGGCGCAAAACTCGCAGAAGCAGTGAATCAAGCAATCGTTGCAGGGGCTTTCTTTCAGCAAGTATTGCTGCCTCATCTTAGAACGGTAGAAGCATGAGTAACACCACTGAAAGTGACAACCAGTCAGACTTATTATTAGCGCGTAAATCGCCCCACTCGCGCCACAAGCTGCACACAAAAGTCACCCACCACATGCGGTTGATATCAAACTTCTACATATAATATATAGAACATATAAACATGCGCGCGTATACATGTATTATATATATATATATATATATATATATATATATTATATATGCCAAGCTGCACAAAAAAAATTGTTGTTGTAGCTACTACTTACATGTTGAACCTCTGTCCACAATCTCTGCAACCCGTCCAAAAGTAACACACGGACACCAGCATGTCATGCAACCTGTAAAAGGAGAAAAGTCAAACAGACTATATATCTCTTAAGACGGCACGTGTCATTCACGCCCCGCCATCACTAGCAAGGTATTGGGAAGAAGGCGGCTTACAGTTAGGGACATCGTCGAAGCAGTCACAGAGACCGGTGGACCAATTTGATGAACCCATGAGTGAGATGAGTTATGGTAATGTGCATGGGCAATGAAAAAAATGATTCAATTTATAGCAATGGATCGGGGGAACCAATGTAGCTGCTATAGGATGTTTCGAGAAGTGATGTTCACACCTTTTTATTTTAAGGTATGGTAAGATGTTCACACTCTTGCCCTTTTCTCAGTTTTGGCATGTTAAAAACGTGAATACAAAAAAAATAAAAAATAAAAATCTAAATTTTCTTTGGATTACAAAAGATTTTGCAAATTAATAATCTAACATTTTAACTGTCAACTTTTTTGGAGGGCTAGTTTAAGGATTTCAAAGGGAAAATGCAATAAATATGTGATTTTTTTTATTTTTTATTTTTTTATTTTAAAAAAAAGGAATTTTCGAGGATATTAGGAAGATAACATCTTCCTATATAGGATGCCTAAGATAAATAACTTTTGTTAGTGTTACATGTGTTGGGATTTATATGCCCTAGCATAACTAATTCTTATTCCAATTAAAGTGACATATGTTCCTGATATATCTAAAATATTTATACTTTATACAATTGGTGAATTCAATATATTATGTTTCAATTCATTATGGAATTAATAGTGTCCACCTGATTACAAAAGATATTTATATATGTATGTTATGACGACCAATACATGAACATAAATAATAATCATAAATAGTTCATAGTCAGTAATTATGGATGGACTCATTATTAACTAAGACTTGAACTGAATTCGCGTTAGGTTAAGATATATTGCAAGAGCCGTCGTATGTAATTACTCTCTATCACTGTTATGACATTTGACTCTCAAACATGAGAGAAGTACAGACTCTTTTATTAATTAATAATTACTTTGATTTGTTCGACGGATATTTCGGGATCCATAGATCGGCACTTTGAGTAGCTATGTAATTAATATTTAAAGGGTTATATATTCAATATTTGCATCAGTGCTACCTGTATTTATTTTGTATTGATTGTGGTTGATCACAAATTAAATTCGAAGACCTTCGTGCGTTTTTAGACAAAATGATTTTCTATATATTTATTTATTTAAATTATTATTTTTATCAAACAAATATTTTATTGTGATCAAGACGAAAATAATCAAATGTAACAAAATAAATATATTAATTAAGTAGTTCAATTGATGACTTTATTTATTAGATAACTAATTATGCATAGAGGGATCAAAGTACCACATTGACTTAGATCGAGGTTATTTATTATTTAATTAGAGTTCAATTAATTTTTTTTTGTGGAGTAAAAATTAATTTATGAATTAATTTAAAGGATGCTCCTACAAATCTAGTTTTTCAAGGTCATTCATGGAGGCTTATTGGTGATTCCAAAAGGTAAGACCATTACCAAAAAGATGAAAATCCAAGGAGTAGACATCTAACAAAAGAATGTACAATAAGTAAAAATATTCACTTTAGAGTAAAATTTTAAAAGTTTACTCAAACCTTTGATATAAGTTTTCAATATATGAATTAAATAATACATCATAAAGATCAATAATGGTTGTAGTTGACAACAATAGAGTAGTGCGTGTCAATTCCACTATCACTATGTGTTCTACCAACAGAATAGTCACCAGCCAAATGCCAAATTCTGGAGAATAATTAAGGCCGGCCAGTTCACCACACACATTATTATCGATCAGATGGAGACGAAGAATGTTTGAAAATGAATTATAAACCAAACTTTTTAAATTATTGTGCCGTCGAAGCCCGATAAAAAGCCCCACTTCCACTTCCTAGGTGGTTTGATCTTTATCTTGTTATTATTCATGTCTAGAATCATCGATCTTGAAGAATCATGGTTTAGCATCGCAGCAAACTGATGCAGATTGATCATTTTCTTCTTTCAAATTATTTTGGTTTGTTTTTTCGGGTTCCAAATCCAGTTGTTGCAGATGCTGTTTAAGAATTCAGCCAGTGTATTATCCTCTGAAGGACAAATCACAGACCTTAAACAAAAGCAAGCACAGAAAAACTTAGTCATGCTGCATTTGTTCTGGTCTCTGGTAGGGAGTGATGTACAAACTTACACTATATATATATCTATATATATATATATATATAGATATGCTGTTATGGACGCATATTTATTATTTGATAGAATCGAAGTGATAATGTTTGGAAAAAATGAAGTTGACCAAAATGCTTTGAAAAAATATTATTCATTTGTCCAAACTATCTTAGGTATCACTTTTTGTGCACAGAGGTATCACTTTCTGTCATTGGATTTGATCTTGTAATTATTCATATCTTGAAGAATCATGGTTTAGCATTGCAGCAATCTGATGCAGATGGATCATTTTCTTCTTTCGAATTCTTTTGGTTTTTTTTATTTTTTTTTATTTTGAGGACTAGAGTCACTAGATCAAAATAACTGGTTCATATGATTTTTTTTTAAACTGTTCGGAAGAAGAAAAAAAATCTTCTGTACTTCCTAGAAAAATGCCGCCTTCTAGGGTATTAGGATTATTAACTTGAAGTCTCAAGTTCTTGTTTGTTACCAAAAAAAAAGAAAAAATCAGAACAATACCTTCTTCTTCTTCATTTTTTTTAAAATAAAAAACAATTGTTTTAGTCTGAATCATTTACTCTCTCTTATGTCACCTATCTATACAATTTTCTTCGCCAGTTTAGTCCAGAAAGAATTTCACACACACACACTATATATATATATATATATATATATATATATATATATATATAGTTAGAAAATTAAACTGAATTCATGAACCAACTCAAGTGTAGAATACATGAACCAATTTATGTGTGAAATACATGAACTTTCTCATTGGGAAATGAAACACTTGTATTATAGTTAATGTCTTATTTATTGTCTTATATTTTGTATATTTCTAGAGTCATGTATTAATGTCTTGATATAAATATACGTTCTTGATATTTTTGTAAGTAAGAAGTGAGAAAGAATATATTAGAATTTGTAAGTTTTATATAACAGTGTGTGTGTTCTTTTTCATATTGAGAGCCTCTTACGCGCGCGTGTGTCTATATATATATATATATATATATATATATATATATATAGCATTGCTTGATAACTATAATTAAAATGTGCGTGGTACAGTACGTGTAAGTTTTATACGTACGCTCTAGTGGCGTAGGGGAAAAAGAAATATCATTTGGAATCTATGTGAGACATATTAATGTGATGTTGTTGGAGTTTTCTTTATCAATCAAACTTTTTTTATTCCATTTACTTTTCTTTTTTCTTTTTGGTACGTTGACTATAATGGAGACGAGCCTTTCTTTCATGGACAGTAACCTGACAATAATTTGAACATAAGTGCCATATATATCATAGAGATACACAAATTAAGCTATACTTATATATATATATATATATATATATATATATTATTGGCAGAACATCAACGAGTGTAGTAACGTAAGAGATGAAGGTCTTTTGAGCACTTAATTAGATGAAGTGCGATTGTGATAGCTGAGTGGCTTCCATAATAGTTAGATTTGAATAAAGGCACAATTAAAGTCAATAAGTGGCATCTTTTCTCCTTTTCAATGTTGCAAATGCTTGTGTGTGTGTGTGACACATGTGAGAGAGACAAAACTATAGATATATAGCTAGGTTGGTATATTGGACTTGCTGGGCAAGGTTTTTCTTTTCCGGATGGATGCCCTATTTCTTCTTGTAACTAATGAAAGCTCCTCTTAATTATTAGGCGAATAATACTTAGTCCTTATTAGTCAAGATTTACATTAGGGATGACTACGAATTAGATTAGGCATAAATCATAATTCGATCCGTCCCTAACAGATTAATTAGACAAATCTTAATCTGCCACCGATTCGTTATCTCACGGATCAGATCAGATCGAATTCGTGCAATAACAAATTGGATCCACATATTGGGTTTAATTTAAATTATTTATTATTATTTTTATAATTAAAATTATTTATTATTTATTATTTATTTATCTTTTAACCATAACCCAATAGATAAAATTATAATTGTTGCAAAAGCTATATATACCATCTTGCTATATACGTGTGTGTGTGTGTGTGTGTGTGTGTGTGTGTTGCAAAAGCTATATATACCATCTTGCTATATACGTGTATGTGTGTGTGTGTGTGTGTATACCATTTTGCTATATACATACGTGTGTACCATCTTGCTATATACGTACGTGTGTGTGTGTGTGTGTGTGTGTACCATCTTGTTATATACGTGTGTGTGTGTGTGTGTGTGTGTACCATCTTGCTATATACGTACGTGTGTACCATCTTGCTATATACGTACGTGTGTGTGTGTGTGTGTGTGTGTGTGTGTGTGTATACCATCTTGCTATATACGTGTGTGTGTGTGTGTGTGTGTGTGTGTGTGTACTATCTTGCTATATTCGTACGTGTGTACCATCTTGCTATATACGTACGTGTGTGTGTGTGTGTGTGTATACCATCTTGCTATATACGTGTGTGTGTGTGTGTATACCATCTTGCTATATACGTGTGTGTGTGTATATGTGTGTGTGTGTGTGTGTATACCATCTTGCTATATACATGTGTGTGCGTGCGTGCACGCTCACGCTTATCCGAATAGATGCCCTATTTCTTCTTGTAACTAATGAAAGCTCCTCTTAATTATTAGGCGAACAATACTTAGTCCTTATTAGTCAGGATTTACATTAGGGATGACTACGGATTAGATTAGGCATAAATCATAATTCGATCAGCTCCTAACGGATTAATTAGACAAATCTTAATCTGCCATCGATTCGTTATCTCACGGATCAGATCAGATCGAATTCGTGCAATAACGAATTGGATCCACAGATTGGGTTTAATTTAAATTATTTATTATTATTTTTAAAATTAAAATTATTTATTATTTATTATTTATTTATCTTTTAACCATAACCCAATAGATAAAATTTTAATTGTTACAAAAGCTATATATACCATCTTGCTATATACGTGTGTGTGTGTGTGTGTGTGTGTGTGTGTTGATAACAAAACTAGCCATAGCTAGGTAGGTAAATTGGATTTGCTGGGAATGATTTTTCTTGTGTGTGTGTGCTGGGAATGATTTTTCGTGTGTGTGTGTGTGTGTGTGTGTGTG